GGGAATATTCTGATGGAGAAAATTTTTCTTTAATTTGTATTTTGACAGTCCCAAACTCATACAAACTTCCAATAGTTTTAATGGAGACTTCAGTCTTTTTAAGTACTCAAGAGCTCAGCATTTGCTTCCATTTGTAGGTCTTTTTCTTTCAAATCCTTCTTAATGCAAATTTCTTCATGTTTGGTTACTGCTAATAATAGCATTAATGATAGACAATTTGTCCCAGAGACTCCAAGCCCTAAAAATGATCTTTTAGTCCCTGGAGCTTTATCTTCCACCTCGATTATTACCTCCTCGTTTGAAAGGAATGTTGCTAAGAAACATGCTGATGTTCTAGTTCTGGACAATGGGTAAACAGCTAAGTAATGCTCTTTCCATCACCTCATACCTTTTTTTGCTCTGCTTTCTATCCGTCTTGACTGACGCTGTGTCTTTCATATTCTTCTTCTAAACTTTTTGCACTAAGTTCCTCCAAGGCACTCACACTTTTTACTCCTTATTTGCCCGAGCTGCAGTTGTCCATGTATTTATTGCACAACTACTCATCTGGTCTTTGACTCCCTTGAGCTGCTGGACTGACCAGCCTACTAAGTACTTTCTATTTCTTTCAGTTCTTGTTTTGTTTCTATGGTGTAGTCAAATAGGCTCATACATTATTTGTTCTTCAGTTGGGGTCGTTGAGCAGACACAGCTGATCAACTTCTTCACTGGCACCCACAGTATGGGTCCCTAAAGCAGTAGACAAATTGTGGTGCTCTGCTGCAGTGGGGAAATATGCTCCCTGTCTCTGTTAAAATCTTGTAATACACAACTACCTGTGTGGTTGGGTATGGTGGCATGGTGAGTTTCTCAGCAAACCAAAGTCTAATACTGATTTTTTTTTTTCTTTTTCTGTAAAGGTACCTTGGAAATGCAATGGTCATTCTGAGTCACTAGTGTATCAGGGTAGCTTTGTTAGGAGTCCTACAAGGAAAGCTTCTGCCATAACTATTTTAGCTGCCCACACTGGTGATACTGCTCTGTTATTTGAGTCTATATAACCTTACGTCTTCTAACAAACTGCCACTGGAGTGGCAGGTCTGGAATCCTAGCTACTTATTCCATTGATTTTTATATATATGACACTGCATAAGGGTCCAGAAACCTGAAGTGGTGCACTTGTTCAAGCAAAGAAATCAAATCATAAAAGAGCTAGTGCTTGCACTCTAAGCAATGGTATACATATTGTGACTGTTCCTGAGTGTCAGTTGGTGGTGTTATTACAATTAACTGTGTTCTAAGCATAAGTCTGGGATTATATTTAATTATACAGTGTACCATCTTACTTAAACTAAAGTTTTATTAAACTTACTGGAATTAAAATTGCTCCATTTAAACTGTTTCTAATTTAAAGGGTTCATTTGGAAACATTCTTCAAAACTGAATTAGCTAGGATTGCCTATTTGAATGCTGTACAAAACATATGAAATTTGTCCAAAATATGTTCAAAATACTTGAACCATCTGTAAAAAAATTAACTTTGCTATGATTGCTCATGCAGAATATTTTTAATAAAGTGTTTTTGTAAATCAGTCTGTCAGTTTTTATATACTTACTGTAATCTGCTCATGTACTTCTAAAAAAAAAAGTTGATATTTACTAGTACTGCACTATGATCCTTACTCAAAACAAAAAACCAAAACAAACAAAAAACCCCTACAAACAAACAAGCAAACCCCAAACTTCTTTTTCCTCAAAATTTTAATTGTATTTATAACTGGATTCAGATTCAAGAAAGCTTTCTGAAAATATCCCTTAAATTAAATAGTTTATTTTTCCCTTTGTGAATTCCAGCTGCAAACCTGTTTCAGATAAGAAGTAACTATAGTAACATCATGTTCATCTGGTTTAATTTTAATACACTGCTGAAAATCTTGAAGTTGTAACGTTTCAGGGCTTATAACAGGAATCATTTCATCCAGTATCGTGAACATCAGCTAGTTCTTGAAGTCCTCGTATCTGTCTGGAAGTGATGAGGGTTGAATGCTCCCTAAGAGGTGGGTGGAACCAAGTTGGACAACCCAGATAGAAGGGGTTCAAATGGGACTGGACTGAAATCTCCCCCCAGGGCGGTTGGACAGGGTCAGTATGGGCTGGTAGAACCCTCATGGCCCTGAGGGCATCCCTGTACAATGTTTTGGTTATTAGTATATTGATAATTATTAAAAGCTTTATGTAACAGTAAGAATGTTCTTACTATGTTGCTTTTGTTATCTATAGTATAATTTTTTAAATGGCATCACAAATCATTTACTATTTTCTGAAGGCCACATTTACATCTGTATGTATGTACATTTACACATACTTCTATATCCCTTCTGACATCTGAATGTAAATTATTGTGTGAATCATCAAGGTTACTAAATTGCGAGCTGAAGCTCACATCAAAAGAGTAACAGATCTGGTGATCCAGAGAGAAAATTATCCAGGATTTTAATGCTTTGATGTATTTGTATTCACACGACTGACACTCATCGTGCTTTATACTCATCTTACAGATCTGTAATTCCACTGATTTCAGCTAAATCTTCTCTGAATGTCTAGTTCATCTGAGTAGACTACCTTTGATTACCTCGAACCTCTGTGTTTAGGCACTTCCTGTGTAAAATAAAGTGCAGGTAAACAGTATAGATGAAATGCTGAACTTCTTAAATTGATAGGAGTTTTGCCACTGTGTTTTCTTTGGTCTAGAATTTAAGCTTGCACTGAGGAGTATAGATTTAAGTTCCTAACTTCTTCATCCCTCTTTTACATATGACAAGGAAAGAAGAAGAAAGGAGGCTTGGCTCACCTAATTTTTCCTTTTCCTGTACTTGAGAGTTTGATATCAATCTTACAATTAGAGTCTGAGAGGCAGATTTTAGCCTGAGAATTTTGATAAGTATTTTCCTAAGATGAAAGGAAAGAAACCTTTGGATAATTATGTGAACAGTCTTTGGGAGTGTAGGTTCCCAAACCTTTAGCTGAACTGGCAAAAATAGGCATAGCAGTATCCTCCCTTGCTAAGGGAGATTATTCTAACTTGGAAGACTCTTCACCAAATACTGACTAAGCGAAAGTGAAAAGGGCTCCTTTAAAATACACTTTGGCAATGCAGATGCCTATTAAGACAACTGCCTTTCTCAGAGTGGCAGTTGCCTGGACTAATGATTTTAAAAGAACCATAAGGAAAGTGAAAACCAAGTGTTGACAAAAAGGCCCTTAGCAGCTGCTTTTGTTGTCAGAAGCCCCCTTGATTGCATCACATTTAGCTCAAAATAGTCACATTGAACACAGCATCTCACTGATAATTATAGCTTTTTATCTAGAAAGATGGACAAGCCAAACAGTCACTTTCATCTGCCAGACTCTGTGATGCAGAGCTAATTGGCAGAATGCTAGAGAGGTCAGAGAATGGTCCAGTGAGACATTAAACACACCTGTACTCTTAGAAATTAGCTCAAATTTTAGACTTCCCAGGGAACCGATTATCATTTAAAGTTAATCATAGTGAAAACAACTAGGAAAAGTGTTTCTTGCAGAGGGAAGCCCTGGATTCAAAGAAAGGGACTGTGAGGTATAGAAAATTTTAGTGAAAACCTAATGCATCATTCAGGTAAAAATAAATCTTATTCTGTGGCTCCTTAACTCCTTTCCTTCTCATCTTAAAAACTTTCAAGAACAGCAAGAAGCAATATAGTGAGTGACACACACAAGGGGTCTGTCTAACCTAATATGCTCAGTCGGAGGATAACCAGTAATGAATGCCGAGGGAAGAATCTTAAGAATAAAACAAGTATATAATAAATTTCCCAAATATTTTCCTAGCCCTTAGCCATTCCTATCTAAGACACTTCCCCAGCTGTTTCTATCAGATGTTTTAGTGCTGTTGGATAAACATAGTTAAGCATAATAACTGCTAGCAAACTACCAGAAGCATTAATGTACCCATGATCTCACTGCAAGCTCCAGGGGAAGAACAGTGTGGTATCAGGTGATTCCAGACAGAAAAGTACCTCTCTGCAGCAGCAGCTGCAATCCTAATTTTTCCTCCACTCATGCACTCACCCCACTCCATTGAGAGCATGATTGGTAAGCTCTTTCTTTTTTTTTTGGGGGGGGGGGGCTATTTCTCCTGACTCTCTGTTGAAGCTCTTCCCCTTTCCTGTGCATCTGTGCTTCCCCTGGAGGAGTGTATCTGGCTCCTCATTCTTCAAGAAGCAAAATTAAATTCTTTATGCGATTCTTTATTCTGGCTTTAGACACAGGATAAGCTTACACATATATATGTAAACATTTCTCAGAAGTTTAAACCTAGTTGGATGCTGAGAGTAGTCGTGCTGCAAACTGACTCAAAAAATGTTAAGACTGTATTTAACATTATGCAGTGTTAGTCTCCATGCTACATCAATTTGATCCCTAATAGTACTTGTCAGATACTACTACCAGTGGGTCAGGATTGACTTTTACAAGATCTCGCCTTCCAGTGCTCTCTTTCTTTGTTTTTTTGAGAGTAACAATTCTTTTTGTCTTCAAAGAAATGCATGGCTGTGTTTGTAAGATTTTTGTAAGTACAAGTATTATAGATTGTGCAGATTAGTAGAATAATGCAGTATAGTGTTGGTTTGGTAGTTAAAAAAGTATGGGTTGTCAATATGTGGAAAAGGCTAGTGAAACAGGTTTGTGTTAAGGGTTTTTGAATTTGGAACTTTGTAATATTGACAGGAAATAACCCCCAAATTGTATAAATTAGGTTCAACTGATTTCTAAAGCAGGGATTGCACAAAGGTTCCAAGCTTAAAACAGTATTCTTAGTACTCTTTCATATAAAAAATTGACTTGTAAAATATTTTATGAAATTATTAAAAGGTTCGTTATATTTAACACAGCTCCCCTCTCAGCATGCATGTTTATATTAAGTTCTAACTTAATTATACCTCAATTTTTTGTTCTCTCATTTATTTCTCATACATGTTTCCCAGGATAGCCCACTGGTCTTACAGTCTGACAGAAATGTAACAGTGAATGCAAGAAATCACATGGGACAGTTAACTGGACAACTGACAGTAGGTGAGTGTTCTTTATTAACTGTTACGTTTATCAGTTTAGCTTTATGAATAGGTTTCATTAATAAAACTCACATATAAAATATTACTGAGTAGTCAGGAAAAAATCTCTCATCGCCATACTCAAACAAAAACGGGTGCCTATAATGCACAATACATACACACTAAGAGCATGATTCAGGATTAGCTCAAGGCAGAAAAAGTAGAAATGTCTCAAAACAGTTAAAACAGCTTAATGAAAAATTATTGTGTTTGAGACAACTGTAACAAAACAAACTAAAAAAAACCTCAGCAAAACATGTTCCAACAACACTTTCGGTGGGAAAATAACTATAATTTTCTTACAAGTTCAGCCAGTCTTCTGTTACTTCAGTGGCAATTGGTTAGTCCCCATCACTTATGTAAGGCATTTGTATCAGTACATATTCAAAGAAGTTGGAGTAATGGAATGTAAAAAAACAGAACAAAACAAAAATCAAAATGCTTTCCTAGCCATTACAAAATTTAAAGGGAAAGTCATTAGTTAAAACTGATATTTTACAAAATATAAAATATAGCAGATCAAAGTTCCAAATGAAATGGAAATAAAAAAATCCTCTACTTATCTGTTTCACTTGTCATGTATTTTTTCCTGCTTTTATGGTATTTACTGTGTTATACTCTTTTTTTAGTACAAATTATATTTATTGTGTTAGTAAATATGGAGTAATTTTCTTTTTATATTTTCAGAACTATAACAGTACTGAAGGTATTAATTGCTTTTTAAGAATATTGCCTGAAAAAATTCACTGCAAATTGGTGTTCTAGATCTGTCACAAAACAATACATACATTGACTGGCAATGGGATAAAAAAATATAAAAACATACATGTGTAAGACCTTAATATAAATAATATTAATAAATTATATAAATTCAAGTATATACCCCTTAGACTCCACGTATTTTCGTTTTTTTCACTTTACTTCTGGGTTAAGTTGCATTTTATCCACTTTTTTTCCTCGTGTGTTGAGGTTATGCTCACATAGTTTTAAACTCTAGTTGTAATCTACACTAAGTTTTCATACTGGCTGGAGACAGTGGCTTCAAGTTGTAAAAACCTTTGGCAAGTACAGACACAGTGACATACCATCTGCACTGATTTCCCTGAATGACCACATCAAATGAGTGTGAAAAGGTAACTAGGCTTGCTAGAAGGTACAGATGAGGAAAATTAAGCTAACACCTGTTCTAGCCATATTGTACTTGCCCAGTGTGATTATGGAATGCAGTTCTGTATCATTTGCTAACTATATTATTAAAACATTCTACTTTGTCTGGTAATTGCTAAAAGGTGAGTTGCCCATGGCAGACATTCACATTGGCTGAAATATATATAATATTTTTATCACTGACACTATTCTGGCTTAATGAATCAAGTACAAAAAATGAGTGTGAGTTTATTGAGACTGACCTACTTAAAGGCATCACACTAGAGGTTAATATTCTAAAAACATAAAGGCCTGAAAAAAATATACGTTTTGTGTTTCCGTCATTAGAGTGAATACCGTTAGGCTTCTTGGTGTGCAGCTGGTATGGTGTTTGGAGAGCAGAAATTTGTTAAATTGCAATATTGTATTTACATTATTTCTTATTCTTTACTTTCCTCTTCATTCCTTAACAGTTATATGGCCTTTATTACTCCTTATATTAATATAAAAATCTGCTTCTTTATTTTTTATGAATTCCCTGTACGGTACTGGGTGCATATTAACATATTTCTTATTTTCTTATCTCTTATTAAATATTTCTAACTTAGTAAAATCAGTCACCAGTATAATCAGTAAAACCTGGACATTCTACTATTAGAAATCAAAGAAATTAACAGGCACCTAAAAATCTAATATTCCTGCCCTCCCTTCTAAAGTTTTTTCTTGTGTAAGATAGAGCAGAGAAAGACAAGTTTTGGCTTTTGTCTTGTTAAAAGCATGGCCACATCTGCTGAAAGAATGGTAGGGAACTTTTCTATACCGTGTTTGCTGACATAAGAAAATATTTTTTCTATTAGTTGTAAATATGCTCTGGAACATTCTTCTTTAAATGAAGAGGTATGCTGCATCCTTCAAAAACAATGAAGAGAAATGTTTTAAGCAGCAACAACAACAACAAAACAAACAAACAAAACCCACAAAAAACCAAACCAAAACAAAGTAAATTATTATACCTTGGGGGAAAAATTGTCTAGTTAACAACTTTGAAATCTTCTTATATGTTGACATCTTTAAAGAGTTGAATAATAATAATTTTAAAAAACCACCAAACCTACAAATTTATATGCATGGCAGGAGCATTCTATAAAGAAAGAAGGATGCCAGTGCATTCAGAAAGATGATAATGCACTTTCTATATATGTTATACCACTGGCATTTTATCTGTGTTTCACAGGACATAAGTGATATTGCAAGGCAACAAATTGACTGGTCTTTTCCTGTCTTTGGCATCCAAATTGCTGGTCATATCAAATTTTAGGACAACTAAAAATTCTTTCTATGGTATTTGAAACTCTGTAAGACCAAGACAGCCTCAAGAACATGCACTTAGAACTGTAACTGGCAGATAGATTAATGTAAAGAAGTGGGGTCGGAGCTGGGAAGAAGGAGGTTGCATGTTCACTCAGGAGATGGAAAAATGCCAGTGAAACTCTTGATACAGGTGTTATTGAGCGAAGAAAAAGTATATTAAGAAAACCAAAACAAACCCAAAACCAAACAAAAAACCCCCCAAACAAACTAAATATACTGGAGGATTGGAAGACTGAGTAGTTGTATGTTTAAATGGTATGAATTCAAGTCGTGGCTCCAGGTCATACAATAATAATATCCATATTATTACAATATTAATTACAATAATAATTACATTTAATTACATCCATATTAATTACAATAATAATATCCAACTGTAATAATATCCATTATTACAGTAATAATATCCAATTACAGTAATAATATCCAACTGTAATAATATCCATTATTACAGTACAATGTTTTTATACTGGCAATAAAAAGTGTATACAGAGAAAGTCACAGCTGTAGCAATACTTTCTGTTGGGATTTCTACCAAGTAAGCAAGAAACGTTGGGTTGCACTCCAGTCTATTTGTGACATATGATCAGGAATCTGCCAAGTTTGTGTCTGGATCTCCAAAAGGACTCCACGGCCTTCAGTTCTTAAACATGCCATTTAAGACCAATGGAGCAGATGTAGCACAGACGTGAGTTATATCTTCAGAATAAAGATGAAAAAATGGCCATCCATTGAACTTTGTATCTGAGCTGGAAAAGGATAAGTAATCATGTCTCTCCCCTCCCAACCTTCACTTAGCAATACCTTTTGCATTGTGCATTCTACGGAATTACCTTTGCACAACCTTTTCCCTCTGTTTAATTGGTGTTTGCATAGTTTAAATATATATGGAAAAATATCTACTTCTCTATTTTTGCCAGTCTTAGAAATGCACATTAATTGCTCACCTTGAGAAAGAAGTCTGTTGTACCATGCTGTCTGCACATATCATATATGCCTCTGCCTGTTTTTGAATGGAGAACATTAAGCTGGCAGCAGCTAAAAAAATTGGTCTGATGTTTGAAATCCACTTTTGTACTTGCCATAAATTCATCCTCAAATTTAATTTTACTTCACCAATTTTTTCATTTTTTGTAAGAGGTTGTTTTTTTCTTATTTTTTACCTTGCTGCTTCTGACAGGTATTTCTGCTACTTCTTCACCCTTTCCCGTTCATAAAAATCTCTGGGGATACCTGAAATGTGCAAAAAAGTGCACTTCTTTTCTGCTAAGCTTTGAGCCCTCAGACAGAATCATAACTCTCACAGAGGTCCAGAGCTATAAAAGTCACAGCTTTAGAGAGCTCCTGAACCTGTCACTCTGTTCATTGAGTACTCTAGAGCCAGGCAAATTGAGAAAAAAATATTTGAATACCAATGAAAGTTATATTACACTCTTGCAATTGCTATTTGAAAATAACAGGCAGATGTGTGATTTTCAATAGCAGCACTGCTAAAGACTGATAGCAGTTCTAAAAGATATAACTAGTCAAATAACATGTCAAACATGGTGATGCTTTCCATACATTTAACACAAAATTTGTCTTTGTGTATTTATGATTTTTCTTTCTTTAAAATGTGCTTGCTTACTTGCCGTGTTCCATTAAGAGTGCATGAGTTACTGTGCAGAAACTCATGGACATTAGGAACCACAGTTACATAACTCTGTGAGAGTGGGAATAGTCTCCTCATCATTCTTACCTATATCACATAAGGCAGCCACCTATGCCTGTATCTACCGATACCTTAGCAGATAACACATCCTGCTAGCCCTTCACTTCTGAGGTGTGCAGAGTAACTCATTACCTAAATGTGGCTTGTGATGTTCCTTTTGCAACATTTAGATATCAGTGAAGATTCTGAACCAAGATACATTTCAAGCATCCTTGCTTTTAGAATGATCTGTGGTAGTAATAATATGTTACATTATTACTCTCTGCGGTAGTAACAAAAGGTACATGTAAAAAATGTGTACACATATGTAACACCCCAGCCCAGAGCCGCTCAAGGTGGCTCCAACCTGGTTACTGATCTGGTGTTTAACAACATGTTGCTCTAAATCTTTGATACTCTTGTGAGACATTTACTTAAGATTTTTATGAACTTGAACTAAGGATCCAGGAAGGCAATGGAAGTAATAACATGCTTAAGTAACAATGGACGAGAAACGTTTCTGTGTTTTCTAATGGTGTTTTCAGCCTCAAATGTAAGGTGTTTTCTCCTAAGTGTTGCAGGAAGAAGGTATCATACACATACACCCTTTCTTCACAGTAGGAAAATGTAACATAAGCTCTCAACTCTTCTCTGTCTTATCTGCATGGCTGTTCTTGTATGATCCATAGTAGCGTGATGGGGAGGGAAGGGATGGTGGTGTTTTATAAACCCTCATTAGCTGCTTCTGCCCTTCA